TGCTATATAAAACAAAAGTTACCCTAAAAGATACCATTTAGCCAAAAAAATTCAAAGAAATTTGTAATCTGTGTCATTTTGTGGAAGTCTAACAATGCAGACCTGGTGAAAATACTGTGCAACAAACCAAAAACTCTGGAAAGACTGGAGAGGAAGCAATTTTTTCTATATCTGCTTGCAAGTACAGTGTGGAAGGCATCAGCAGCTGTGAGATTCCAATCTCATGCTACTCTAAGGGTAAGTATCCAAGTAGATTAATTTTCAAAAGTTATTTTTCAGCCTCCCTGTACCTCCGTTATTACATATGTAATTCATGGCTTAAATACAAACATAAGAGGCAAGTCATAAACACAATTGATTGATAGAAAAGTTAGACCATAAAGAGCTATTGAAAGATAGGAGATAACCATGATGTTCCAGTGGCTAAATACAGGATCAGCAATATCAGTTTGGTAAATGCTAACGCACCCACAAGTAATTCGTCACCCAAGGAACATTAAGAGTTTGAACTATGAAGTGCATAATCTGTAATGTGAGGTACTTTGTTTAACCATTTTTAAATGCATTATTTTCTTGTCACTATACAACAAAATATCTGGTTATATCTCAAAATTACCTTAAACTGTACCCTCCTGTCAGACATCCCTTCAGTTCTTACCTGACATGTCAGAAACAGCTAGGGAACCAATGTAAAAGTCTGCAGCTGCATTCGATCCAGAGGTAGTCTTTTGTCGCAGCGGATAGCCCCTCGAGCTCACCTGCAGCAGCTGAGCTGGAGGAACTCGAGCCTCATGCTGGCGGAGCATCTGCAGAAAGCAGATCTAAGTCAGCAGAGGTATATAGAGGCTCACAAGCTTGCTGAACTTGGCAACCAAACAACAACGAAAAAATGAAGGGTACGGATGTATGTTATTGAAAAGTTCTTTGACTTTTTAACCAAGGATAGTTTTGTTAAACTGACACTTCAGAGGATGATGGAAAGTAGCAAGGTTAGCAAATGGGGCTTTATTACACACAAACTCCAGAATAAGTCAGTTATAAAGTATAAAAAGCAACTGTTCTTTATGCCAATTATGAAACTGACAGGTTTTCAAAGTATGAATCAGAGAGGGTATTTTACTACTGCAGTGTCAGATTTCTCTCGGGTTATATTTTCCATACTCACACTGTCCAGAATATTGAAAGCTGATGGATCAATGTGATACTTTATTTTGTCCTGTTGTATTTTTTAATTAATGTATTTTAAGACAAAGGAAAATCAGTACACTAATAGGGCGGCATGAAAAGCATTAACAAATGCAAAATTGGGTGCAAGTGTACCACAGTCACACAGAATGATTTTCACTGCAGGAGAATCTCTGACCAGATCCACACAGAAAATGCAACCACACGGTTAAAATTATTATTTCTATGGTGTGATGAAAAAACTTCGCATAGGGTCTTTATTTTGTTTGTTCCTAGCTCCCACGCAGGACAAAAGAAATACTCTGTATTATTTATCCAGGTAAAACGGCGGATCTTTAGGACTAACAGACCTACATGTGGGACAGACTAAACAGTGGCTAAGGTAGCTGCCCCTCTGCAGCAACCCAGGCTGGGGAGCAGGTCTGTGGAGAAGGTCCTGGGGCCATGCTGGGCAGCGAGATGAGCACGGCCAGCAGTAGCCCTGGATGGAAGGAAGGCCCACAGGAAGCTCCTGTGTGAACAGTAGCACGGCCTGTTGGTCGAGAGAGGCAATAATGTGTCTGCTCAGCACTCATGAGACAAGGGCAGTGTAGTTTGTCGAGCTTTGGCATCCCCCAGTAGAGGAAACACACTGGTAAACTGGAGTGAGTTCAGATGAGGGCCCTGAGGTGTCCAGGGCTGCAGCACTGTCCGGCCCTGCAGGCTGAGGGGCCTGGCTCAGCCTGGGGAAGGCATGGTTTTGGGGGGCACCAAACAGCAGCCCCCATACAACTACAGAAAAGCCATCAAGAAGACGGGAGTCAAACTCTCCAAAGCAATGGACAGTGGGAGGAGGAGAGACAACAGGTATGAGTTGAAAGACGGGTAGTTCAGACTAGATATAAAGGGGGAAAAATCACGCAGGGGGTAATTTAGCAGTGGATCAGGTTGCCCAGAGAGGGTGTGGGAAATGTTGGAGGTTTTCAAACCCTGGCAGGACAGAAGAAGCTTGTCTGGTCTCCTGGCTGACTCTGCTGTGACCAGCTGGCTGGACCAGAGGCTTCCTCAGGTCCCATCCAGCCTGAATCACCCTGTGATTCTGTCGTCATTTCTAAAGACAGTCTGCAAAATCTTCCTAAGTAATAGGGCTGCTCTTGTCACCATGGTAAAGTTTTCCTATTGTCTAAGGTAAGTCTCTTCTGCAATGTAAGCTCTTAATTCAGTTTTTTTCTACTTCAGGTGTACACTCTCCCTCACTGCAGTAACTTACATGTATTTGAAGACTGCTACCATGCCATTTTCAGGTTGCTTTAGAAGATTTTTTCCATTAAGTGCCACATTTCGATTTGTTCTAACTTTTGGGCAACCATGTGTGCCAATTTTCTTGCTGATTTCTCAGTATGCTTAAAGCATGAAGTTTAGCAGGAATACACTCAGCTAACTTTTAAAATTTTCTCTACTCTGAATTTCACTGATTTTCATAGTAAAAATTTTCACAGTGCATTTTTTCTCATCATCCCATATCTCCTAGGCTGCGTATTATCTGATTGTGCAACACTTAAGCTGCTTTTGGAGTGAAATAGCCATGTTTTTCTTTCTTGCCTTTGTGGTCACAAAAAATTATTAAACTGTAATTCCTATGGTAGCTCATTCTGTGCAGTCATCCCTGTCTCTAAGCTCTACGATTTTTCTGAATTTGCATGTTTGCAGCTCACAGGTACGTGTTTATTCTCAGTGGAACAGCATCCTGCTAACTCTTTTCTTGCTAGCTACTTTGGTTTTGTTTGTTTTCTCAACAGCCTGAGCTGCACGCCCATTTTCCTTGTTCCTCAGAAGGTTTTCCCTCATATAAACACATACACCTGTGTTTTCTGAGACTACTCTTCTTCCCATTCCTTGAATTCTCTTGTCGTAGCGAAACAATTTTGCTTCAGTGCCTCAGGGTGCACACTCTTATTTATCAATCTTTCCTATATTTAAACAGGTGTCTGAAAGTGACAGTGACTGCAGTGTAGGAGAGATGGAAGGGGCGAAGCTGCCTTCTGCCTTAAGCCAGAGGCAGAGCTGTGACAGCTCTCCTCTTTGCCTCAGGGTCAGCATCCCCAGTCGCACTGGTTAGTCTGCCTGCGGTGCGGCACATGAGGAAGCACAACTCCTTCATCCAACACATTATGTAAAGACAGATGTTTTCAGCTTACTCAGGCATTACAATTAGGACAGAATAGGATGCCCTGAACAAAAACGATAACAAAATCAGGGTATGCTTGAACAGCAAAACAAAGACATTAGTGCATCATGGGTAGCCGTAGCTTTAATGTAGCTGGCACAGGCAGAAACAGCATCAAAGATGCATTAGCACAAAATTCAGTGTGGGCTGGCAATTGGGATAAGGTCTTGGGGGCTCCACTCACATTCATACCTCTACGACATTACTTCTGTTTCCTCTGTGCTAGAAAGGTAAAGGGTAACTTAAAATCCTGCCCCACAAGGCCATCACTCTTGCTGCTGCAGTGAAGAAACAGCTTGAAGACTTTCCTTATTTAGTAAGAAATCACTTTGGGTTTTCCTGGATTAGGTGTTAGCCACGCAACATTGCAACAGGCAGACTCAATCACCTGGGACCATGAGCGCACTTGGATAAGGTTCCCTATTAAATCACCCATTTTCTTAAAAACAAATAGAGGTGCAGTAAATTTTGCAGTTGTGCCACGTGTACTTTTTGGTCTGAAAAGTAACAGCTTTGGTGTGAAAAGTAACAGTGTCCTAGACTCTGGTCAACTTTTAGGGTTTAATTTTTTAGTGTTTATTTACTTAAATTTTACTGAATATAAAAAGAGAATTGGACATGCTGTGTAGCTAATGAGCTGCTACTGATGGGAGGACAAATTCATCTTCACGTTTATTTCAATGAATTCTAACCAACTGCAGTTTGCAGTCCTGTGAAAGCTTTAATATTTGTTATTTAATAATGACAATATTTGTGGTCCTACTGTTTACAGACAAGTTTTGTCAAGGGGAACTGATGTCAGGGATCAGAGAGTTTTGTGATCTTTGACATATGCATTTGCCAACCTCGACAAAATAAGCCACTGAAAAATGTTGTGAAGATGTTTGCACAGCCTTTCTGATAAGGTGTAGCATGTCTCCAGTCCAATAACATCTGCTGTGAAATAAAGATTAGAATGAAAAGGCAAACTGAACTTGAACAATCTCAAGTTTACCAAAATGTACTCTTCATCTGAAATGCAGGTGGAAAAATACGTTGAAGTGGTGCACATGCTCCCCTTCAAGCACATGCTTCCCAAGCATACCTGCTGTTGAATAAGCTACAAATATGTTTTAGATGTCACTCAGGAGTGTTGTTCAGTTGTAATGCAGATAAATTCCCTAACTACTGAAGACATGGCATGTTTAGAATAATTAGCTGTCATAAACATAAATAGAGCTATGTGTCAACAATGATCTGAGGATAATTTTTTTAGAGACAGAAGAGTAATTCCATTTCTAGAATTTTTTCGTGTTGAAGTTCCATTTCCCAGATTTTTATTTCTGGGGATATTAGTCCAGTAACAAGAATATTGAAACTCACAATGTTAATTTAAAATTTTAAGTCATGAAGTGATGGTCTTTTGTTACTAGTCCTGGCTGGACTGCAAATCCTAAATTTACTATTGAAGTGAAGTATTCTCTAACCCACTGCAAGTCTTTTAGATTATTACAACTAGCATGTCATCGCTTACATCACATTAATTTGTCTTCTTGGGAACGGTATCACAAAGTAAACTCTTCACATGTACCTGTATTAATGTCTGTCTTGTTGTTTTTGTAATTTTCTTCCCTAGATTTTTCCCTCTAGCTGAGCAACAGACACGCGGAGAAACATGCCTGAGCAAAGCAATGATTACAGGGTGGTTGTGTTTGGAGCTGGAGGAGTGGGCAAAAGTTCTTTGGTCTTGCGGTTTGTGAAAGGCACTTTCCGAGAGAGCTACATCCCTACTATTGAAGACACCTATCGACAAGTGATTAGCTGTGATAAGAGCATATGCACTTTGCAGATAACTGATACTACAGGGAGCCATCAATTTCCAGCCATGCAACGTCTTTCTATTTCTAAAGGACACGCTTTCATTTTGGTTTACTCTATCACCAGCCGTCAGTCCTTGGAGGAACTCAAACCGATCTATGAACAAATATGTCAGATTAAAGGAGATGTAGAAAGCATTCCAATAATGCTGGTGGGGAACAAAAATGATGAGAACCAAAATCGAGAGGTGGACAGCAGCGAAGGAGAAGCCATGGCTAAGAAGTGGAAATGTGCCTTCATGGAGACCTCTGCTAAGCTGAACCACAATGTGAAAGAGTTGTTCCAAGAATTGCTAAACCTAGAGAAACGCAGGACTGTGAGTTTACAGATCGATGGCAAAAAAAGCAAGCAGCAAAAAAGGAAAGAGAAGCTGAAAGGCAAATGTGTGGTGATGTGAAATTGCACTCTCAGAAGTCATTCGTGCAGTCTCACCTCTCTGACAATACCCATGTAAAACCTACAGACAGCAACCAACCATGCAAGACCCTATTTATTAGTGTTTGTTTTAAAAGAAATATTTGGAGTTTAAAAAAATATTAGTTACTGCGTTTACGATGAAAAAAGCCAACAATTAAAAATTTATGTACTCTAGCTATGAGTAAAAAAAAAATAAATCAGGAAATAAAAGGAAGATGGGCCACGATCTCTGATTTTCTAATTTACAGAAGAAAAGAAATTACATCCTTAGCATAATGTGAAAGATTTGGAAAGCCAACTTCATATTATCTGCATTTGTATATAACTGCAAGAGAAGGCAATGTAAAATGTTAGAAGAAAAACGAAGAAATGGCAGTGAAGAAACCTAGAACCTGTAAATGCATGCTGAGTGGTGTTACCACCTCTTTTAAGAATGCTGTGGACAAACAATTCTGTGCAATTTTCATTAGTGACTGGTGGGGCAGTGTGCATAAGGTAGTCTCAGATCTGCCAAATAAATAGTTTCACACTGAAAGGAAGTGTGGGGGTAGCACAGTTAAAAGGAACAGATACTCTCTCTACCTCCCAGCATGAGATTTCTTCCTAGTATGATGCAGTGCTCAACCTGGAGGATGAGGAAGAGCCAGACCTACAAGGAGAGATGGAGATCACCTCCTTTTCTGGACCCATCACTTCAAGAATGACCTGTGCTTCTGGCCCCAGTATATTTCTGAAGGACAGATATTTGCCTGTGGAGGATGTCAGATTGTATAAAAACGGTGTACATATACAAACAGAAAGCTTCCCCAGGGAGGACTGGCTGGGAGGGTCCCCTACAAGAGCCTCTATGGGAAAGGCTCGGTTCAAATGCTGCTGATGGTTAAATGAACACACAGTGTGATCAGTGAATGAATGGAAAGTCCGTAGGACTGGTGGTACCCTTGGAGAGGGCTCAGTGTAGTATACAAAGATTTTCTTCAAATAATCAGATTAGCTGAAACTTCTTTACATTACTATATTCCTATTTAAATGGTTTTGCATTCATGCACTACTAGATCTATTGCCTTTATATTGTGTGAAAGGGGGTATATTTAGCATTTGAACTGCTGTGGCTATTTATTGAGTCAAATCCTGTATCTGGTGTTAGGGCCCACAAGAGTCTCTAGGAGAATATTTGCTGGGATAAGTACTACGGGATTTAGCGTATGAAGAGTTGCAGTCAGTACTGTGTTACACTGCAACACAAAGTTCAGAAGAGGGAAAAAAAAAAAACCCGGTTTAAACCACTCTGTCTGGGGAAACTACTCCTCTCAAAACCTCAGAGGGGGAAAAAAGTATACAAAATGTGAGCTTTTCTGGATCTCTCTCCAAAGCTTTTTTAGAAACTTAATATGAATGAGTAAAGTGTGTATCCTACCGATAACAAAGACCATCTAAGATTAAAGAAGCACATACATTTTTTAAAAGACACATCAAAATTGTATAAACCACAATTTGCACCTTAGGAACTGCTTTGAAATAATAAAAAGAAGCCACCATATTTTTGGTAGATGTTTATGTCAAAGTCATACTATGGAAAAATGCAGTCAAGTACTAGTATTATTAGTATGCATGCTGTTGCATTATAAATATCTTCTAGGAGCTATTAAAATACAGTATTTGCATTAAAAATTGTTACCTTGTTCCTCTTGGAGTTACTGCTTGCTTAGCTTCTCCCTTTCAAACACGAGTGCAGACATTTCACAGCTGGAGTGATAGCATACATTACTTTGAGCAAAAATTGCTGCTAGCACTGTCTAGAAAGGAGCACAACCTTTGTCATTCACTCTAGAGAAATTCTAGCACAATTAAAATCAAGCGTGAAACTCCTACTGATCTCAAAGAAGACAGAATTTTGTGTGTTTACTTCGTTGCATTAGAAGAGAAAATTGGAGAGAGCATGGAAAAAAGCTAAGGCTCTTCCTTAACAATAGTTTCCTGGCTCTTACGCGATGTTTTTTCTCCATAAATCTCAAAGCACTTTACAAAAACAACAGCATCGTTAGCTTAACTTCTCAGGTGGTGAAACTGAGGCACGAAGGGGTGAAGCAACTGCACATAGGTTACCCAGCAGGCTAGTGGCAGACCCAGGAACAAAAGCAGATCTCCTCGGTCCCAGTCCAGTGCTCGTGTTGCGTTGGGCCAGACTGTCTCTTCACATTCGTAAGTAGTTTCTAAAACTCATAAAGAAAACTGGTATGGCTTGTACCGCTAAGTGCATCTTTTTCTTATCAGTCTGTCAAGGGATCAAACAGTATTTCCAGATCAGGGATGCAAACATTTAAAAGCGTTATGTTTAGTAAGACTTTTATAACTGCTTATACATCTCCTCTGTAAGCAAATGGCTGACGATGCTTGTCTTTCACAGCATTGGATTCCACCAGTGAAACTGGAAAATCAAAAGAATGATCATACTTAAGAAGTAATGGGTCATGTACAGAGATCAGCAGTACAGTACAGACGTCTCCGCTGATGCTAAAGTGCCGGAGCCAAAGGTCATCATGGATGGCACACGCCTAGGCAGCCAGCATGGAATAATGATAGAAACTCAAAGAAAAAAGGCCATATAAAAGCAAAGTTCCTTTTAACATTATTACTTTAACTGGAGGAATTATTTACATATTAAAGAACCTTGCAGAAGTAGAATAAAGGGGATATGAATTACTCAAAAATACATGACTGCAAGGTTCTTTTTTAATGTGCCTCATAGCAAGAAAAGAGTAATTGTATAGCAAAGGTGGAAATAAAACAAGTAGCTGCCAGTTGGTAGGCTTGAGGACCATTTCCTATAATTCCCAGTTGATTCCTTACCTGTTATATAATAAGCCATGAATTATTTCATGGGCTTGCATTTATCAAAGCAAGGCCAGTACAGAAGCAATATTACTCATGGACCACAGACTCAAAAGAGAACATATTTTATACCCTTGCTTTGTCATCCTAGTTTGTACTAACAGATTTTACATGTCTTACATACTTGTGAGCTGGTCTAAAACATTTGTTTTGCTATTACTTATACAATTTTCTTTTTTTTTAAACACAGGGAAAATACTGCAAGATAAATAAAGAAAATATACAGCTTTATTACATTTAGTGTTTTACTTGGGAATGTGATATTAGTATAATAAGCTCTTTAAAATGTACAGGAAAAAAATGACATATTTAAAACACGTAAGATCTACAAGTGAATTTTAGCATCCATAGGAGATGACCTAGACAAAACCAACTATTTACAACGCATGAATTTTGTATGTATATATTAAATATTAATATATATAGCTGTCATGAAAATGTGTTGTTGAGATTAGCAAATATTTTATTCAAAAACTCTGGATATGAAGTCATTTGTGCCTACAAGTTTCTATGTTTCTGGTGATGTTCTGAACATACGAAATAAAGTTTTAAGTGGAAACACAGGTTTGGAAGAAGCCTTGTTGGTGCCTCTGTTGTGTTTGTTTCATAAGCATATTAAGTATGTGCTTGTTGAATGTTGTGAAGGCAATTCTCTATATCAAAATAGATTTGTACATGTTAGGCAGAGTCCTAAAGTCTTCAGCTGTACAAATCAGACTCCTGAAAAGTCCTGGGAGAATTGGGGCAGTATTATCTAACATTTACCTTTCTTTTATTATACTGTGGCAAACACCTACACTTTCAAAGCAATCTACCTTCATCAAACACAGGTTATCAGTGAGTGTTTCTTTTGGCCATCAAAAGCAAACTAGTTCTGGAAGCTATTCTATATTTCATAATTTGCTTTAAAGTAGTGACAGATAAAACTCAGTGCTTGTGCAAAATTGAAGCTTACTGTATGGATCCTGCTATTCCTCCTCAGTTCTACCAAATTCCTGATGTATTTTGCAAAATTTTCTACTGCAGCATGTTATATTACCACCTGTTGCAAAAAATGTCAAATACACTAACACCTTGCAATTCAGAAGATGTGGTAACAGTTGTTGAGTTAAATAACCACCCCTGCGTGCAAGCAAGCATTTGTGCTCAGTGGAGGGAGGGATCCACAAACAAGCTGGACTACTTAGGCACTCCGGTAGGCATTTGGACCAGTGATAATGAAATATTGACTATTGAATGCAAATTTCGTATCCCAGTGAAGTCATTAGACAGGGCAATCCACAAAGCTTTTTATTTTTAGTGAAGGACATCCCAGAACTCCTAATAATTCCTATTATTCTCTTTTTTCTTCTAATGCACCATTATTTTCTGTGCTTGGTGCTAGTTCTGACACAGCCTACTGTGAAACAGTGGATGTACCAAACTGGTATTCTGGGGTTTGCACAGTATAGTCAGTGATTGCTTTATGGATGTTTGCCATATCGTATTCCACAGGAACATCACAAGCCTGACAAAATTTGACTACCTCTGAAATCTTTGTTGTTGGTTACTCCTGTTTCCCACTGAAAAATATTAACACGTACCCTCATTCAAAGTTGTGAATACATACTTGTCACATTTAGTTCACTGGCATTTTAACTGGCATTTTAATGCCATGTCCCACTCACCTTCCATGTACGTTTTCTAATGAGTCCACAAGTTGTTTTCATGTAGCCAATGCAGCGTGAAGTCCAACTCCACTAAAAGTGCAAGGAAAGGGAAAGCAGAGCTTGTGAGCCCTGGAAAGTATGTACCTGGATGCTCCTTGTGAAGGATACAGACTCCTCTCTATTAACCAGAGGAATAGGGGGTTTAGAGAAAGCATTAAGCCTCTTCTGTTTCATATAGTTTACCTTGATCGAGCACTACTTACAATGAGTCATAGTTGACCTATTGAAAATCATAACAGAACCAAAGCGCAAAGGAGCATTTGTTGTTCAGCCAGCTGTATTTATTCCTCGTTCACATGCCAAGAAATGGCCCACAGTGGGTCCTACAAGTGCATCTCTAACCTGGTGCTCTGAAAGCTGTGGATGACAGTGTCTGTCACATGGAAGCTGCCATTGTATTTGTATTCATTTCAGTAGAAAAAGCAAAAGAAGCAGAAGAGGTGTTTCTTCGTAAAGGGTGCACAGCAAATATTTTTTTTCCATATGTAAGAGGAGAAGGATCATTCATCTTTAGCTTTCAGAGGCAGATGGGGAGATCACTGATGTGTCAATCCCTCTAATTTATATCTGCTTTACAGCAGC